ACTAGTCCCAGAATAAAATTGCGGATTCATACTTCTGAGGAAGTTGATCAGTAGTGACTAAATTTATTTACAATCCATGATAAGGATTACTTAGGTATTGTATAAATCTTGACATGAGTACTTCAATATTCTCTAAATATTTAATCCTGTTACCTTAACATCAGTTTATAATTACGTTAAAATTAAGTACTTATAAGTATTGTATTCTCATCCATAAAGCATAGTAATAAGCTTTTTGATTGAGATGAAGGATCCATCTAGATGAGTTGGAAAACCCTGATTTTAAACCAATGATGTACATGCGCTCCAGGATACTAAAGAAACAAATGGCGTATAAACCAATTGTTGGTCAGCGGCTACCATGGGACTGATCTCCTGACGTTGCTCTACTGCCTTTTGCATCAGACCTTTAGGTTAAAGGCTCCGGTTGTGGTTCCCTAAGGTGACCACTTGTTTCGAAGTGACGTATATCTATTTGATGTCTTCTTGTATCAATGTCTATGTGTTTAAATAAATAAATAATCAATAAAATATCAGCCAATCGTCTCAGACTTTATTATTCTTTCATTTCCATACTGATCATTCACTGTTGTGTTTCTGTTTTCTTTGATCTTCTTAACTTTTTGCCTCTAGGCAATTCATTTTCATTTAATGATGATACATACTACTTATATTTGTTGATATCAGTAACTTCACATTATATTAATATTCATAAATTTTCTATAATTTCTAATAACCTAACTATCAATATTCTTATGCATTATGTACCATTTACTAGAAAATTTAAAATAATCCTATCATGTTTATAGAATATAGAATGAATGAATTCCATTACAAGATTTCTATAAATGTTTCCCTGTCTCTTCTTCTTCTTTATCATCATCATCATCATCATCCTCTTCTTCTTCTTCTTCTTCTTCTTCAAAATTATTCATCTATCTATGCCCTTTAGGTATATCACACTTGTGATATACAAATCTTAACATTTAAAACTACCGCTTAATCACTTGAAGATGAAGAATAAGAAGAAGGGAAAATAAGATTCCAAGATGTTTTATTATTAAGATAAACATTACCATCTGGTTATTTTATGATAAATAGAAAGAAACTTTAATCTTTACCTTTAGGCAGATTGTTTAATCTGAATAATTTTTATTTAAAAACAAAGTAACTATAGAAATGATGGTCAGTTTTCATGAAATTTATTCATATAGTTTATAAGTTAAAAGATAATCTGTTATAGTTATTCTCATAACTATCTGATCTCATTTGGGCTTGAGAGGCGGTGAGGATGGGGGGCGGTGTTGAACATTCAACAATCATCTAGTACTGTATAATTTAGGACAAAAGATCTTTTCAAAAGACCAAAATCAATAATCTTTAGGTATTTAAAATGAATCCATTGTAATTCTATCATTGAGTAACTTAGTCACAATGAAACCTAAAGATGAGACCTTTAAGTGACACCAGACTGACCTTGAGAATGTTCACCTAGAGACTAGGATTAAATGTGGGTGATAAACCTCTATGAGAAATTAAAATTATCATTTAGAAATAGAAATTAGATTTAACAGTTGTTATCATGAATTGATATTGGCTATAATGCCAAAACTCTATTTATCCGAATGAATGAATAAATTTCGAGCCAAAATCCGAGAACTGCTGTCTTATACATCTGATTGATTTGTCTATAAATTATAGTTTCACCGACCTGAATTTCTTGAGTTTAATCTGTGGTCAAGATGAGTTGCTATATACATATGAATAACTTTCAAAGAAAAATGATAGATCTTACATAAAGAAATTACTAACAAAGTTTATGTAGAGAATGAAGTAAATACGAAAGATATTCACTTAGTGTTGTTTTACTTGTATTTTCCCATTGTTCTTTAGGACTGTAATTGATCAGTTTCTTGTTGGCATATATGCATGAGTGGATGAGATTTCTTTTTCTACTTAAAGGAACCCAGCTAAAGAAGTTAATTTTGATGGCCAATCTATATTTGTTTTCTAAAGATGGATCTTTTTAAAGAATCATTACTTCTTCTCATCAGATGTACATTGAGAATAGAGATTAATTGTTGTCACTCACTTTCTAATGTGAAATCTATAGAAGGGTGGCATGAATTGAAGGTATGTAAGATATCTTCTAATTCAATATGATCGTCATACACGACAAATGTTTCGTCCATTTATCTTAACTTTATGATACTTATCAGAAAGAAAATGAACTACACTTTCTTTGATTCAACATCATCTTTAATGAATTTAAGTAGAAGACTTAACTTCATAGGGAAAAACAATATGAAATATCAGCATATATTGAAGATCATTGGTATAGTCTATAGATAAGTTATAATTTAACTTGTTTCTATCAAGTCAAATGTCTAGATTATTCCTTGAGATCAATTTTTAATTGACAATTGATCATTGAATAGTACTATTAGATAATTGAATACTTTTTGTTTTTTGCTTTTCGAACAAAATTTTCATAATTCATAATATTTGTAAAACTTAATGATTGATTATCAAGTGATGATAGAAAGTTTGGTAACATGTTCTGGATATAAGTTCTATGTTAGTTGTCACTTGCAATCACATAAAGCATCTACAATCTAAATAAGATTTTATTGATCTTCTGAAATACAATCCTTTTCATTATACTATTCAAGCTACGACTAACCTCATGTAGAATTGTGATATACATATTCTCAGAAGGGGTTTTGTGGAGATTGTAGTAATTTCAATGGTTAAGATCATGAGTCCATTGAAGTTAGACCACCATGGAAAACCTGGAAGCACTGGACGGCCAAATCGTCCTATTGTGGGACTCCTCAATATATATTCATTGACTATTTTTTAACATAGCTGCTTTATAAGACATGTGAATATACCTAACCGAAACGGGTGAATAATGTCCTATTATTTTTAATTTATTCAGGTAACAACATTGAACAGACTATAGTATTCTCAATAATCAAGTTTCTAAAACCACTGTAATGATCTGAATGTATCCTAGTCATAATCAAATTTATGGAAATGGTGTTTTGGTCACAAATGTTCGGTGAACTAGGTAAGATACATTACTCCAGTGTATTATCTGGTTCTCACTACTTTTACGCCTACCTACAGGCAGAATCAAACAAAGCATTGAGATGATGGAGGAGATTTGTAGCTCAGGTGGATGATTTTGATGGAGCTCAGAGAACAAAACTCCATCAGAATCAAAGGATCTTTTCAGGATGCACATATCTTAACAAAGATATATAAACCGTCATAAATATCTTCTAAACCTGTTAAATAACTTAGTAAATAACCGAATTTAATGAATAAAACATTAACATTGTTCGTGATAACTACTAAATTTCATTATAAATAGCAATACTGTTACGCGAATGCATCAAACTGACTAGTTATAAATACAAAAAAACACAACGCTTATCGTAGATTTCACTCCATCACTTACTTACTTACTTACTTACGCATGTTACTCCTCGTGAAGGAGCATAGGCCGCTCACCAGCATTCTCCACCCAACCCTGTCCCAACCAATCCTTTCCAGCCCTTTCCAGTTCTTATTCATCCTTTTCATATCCGCTTCTATTTCCCGACGTAATGTGTTCTTTGGCCCTCCTCTTTTCCGCTTCCCTTCAGGATTCCAAGTGAGAGCTTGCCTTGTGATGCAGTTTGATGATTTGCGTAATGTATGTCATATCCATTTCTATCGTCATTTCCTAACTTCCTCTTCATCTGGAAGCTGGTTTGCTCTCTCCCACAAAAGGCTGCTGCTGATGGTATCCGGCCAATGCATGTTGAGTATCTTGCGTAGACAGCTATTGATAACTCCGCCTGTAGCTGTTCTAGAGTTACTGCCGGTCCCAATCCCGGATAAAGGAGAAGGGTTGGCAATGGAGTTAGCGTCCCCATCCCGTAGAAAACGAACTCGCTAAAAAAAAACGCTAACCATTTAAACTCCCAGTCAAACTGTAAAATATCCCAATATATTCACTTGGTATTATTTACTTATATCTTCTCATTGTTATTTAGGATTACAATTGATCCGTTTCTTGTTGGTATATGTACATCCTATACGAACTGCCTCTATATTTTCTAAAGTTATATAGTTTATAAACAAAGATGAATAGCTGATGAGTCCATAATAGAATTGACGAAACACATATCAAATGGAATTCTACTGCTAACATTGCTTATTTCAATATATCCCTAAATAGCCAACTTTCATTTATCCTTTACTTGATCAATCGTTCTGAAGTAAGAAAAAAAATCTATAATTTGTAACATTTAGCAACTGTCATAATATAATTAGTAACATTAATAATAATAATAATAATAATTCCCTATCGCCAATCAAATTAAATTAAGCTAATTGTTATGTTTATTATGAAATTGGTTAGAGTAGATAATCATATAGAGAGCAAGGGATAATGTTCTCCCTTTTTCTAATATTCTTTTCTAAACCAATGTTTTACAAATGCGTTTAGAAGTTTCTATCTTTCTAACTCAATCTATTTAAGCATAGTTTATTGACTAAAGTGGATGAGAAAATATGTTCTCCTTTTTTTTTTTGGTGAATGTTCCTGTAGAATTGGTTCATTTCATTGTTTGTATGTTTTATGTTGTCTATTAGTGGTCTATTGATAAAGTTTGTTTTATTGAGAAAATATGATAAAGAGTTTACAGTATAGAGAAATAAACACAATGATCAAGAATATGGTATCGCTTTTGCCTTTTTTTGCGGGGGGGAGGGGGGAAGTGAGTGAGTGAGTGAGTGAGCGAGTGAACGAGAGAGAGAGAGAGAGAGAGAGCGACAGAGATTAAACTATACAAATTAAAAATAAATTAATATAATCTTATTATGTAATATAGTTACTCACTGTTGAAATGAAATATCAAAAAAAAGAAAAGAACACGGGGTTTTTTTTGGTTTCTATGGTGATATCTATATATGAATACTAATGGTTATATTAAATAGTTATTGTTATGGAATCTAATCATAATCATTCAATACTTTGTTCACAAATTCATCAACCAACAAATGAACAAATTGAATTAAACTATCCTTATAATAATAATAATAATAATAATCATAATGATAATATTGACATGAACCATGAAATGACTAATAATACCATTTATACCCATTTAGGATTTCCATTACCTAATTCATTGATTAATCAATCATTACAGTATCAAACAACTTCTATTATTGGGAATATAACAAATAATTCAATTCAATCATTGATAAATGATAGATCTCAGGATAGAAATATGGGAATGACAAATGATCTACTAAGATTAACAAATGTATCCACAGGAGATTTATATGGTTCCAATAAATCATATGATAATGTAACAGGTACATCAAGTTTTATTCCATTGAATAATGAAACAATTCATTCGAAAGTATATTCAACAAATATACAACAACCAAGTCAAAGTTATGCTTATTCATATAAGACTCATCATCATGATCATCATCATCATCATCATAATCATTCCATAATGGGGTTATCAAATCATAAATGGTTTACAGGTTTAACTAATGAACAGAATGATAAAGATATAAAAGAATCAATTTGTATGTATACTGAAACAACAAATACTAATACACCAATGATAAATAATACAAATGAAACTTCATTAATTCCATTATTTGATCCAATTGTATGGAATACAACAAATTGGAAACAATTTGCAACAATAGCACAACATTCATATTATGATCCTATAAATGATCCATTAATCTATAATCAAATGAATGAAATTCATAATAATTTAACTAATCAATCTAATATAATTCCGTTTTATCCTATGAATCAAACAAAAAATCATCATCATGATGATGATGATAATCATAGATTTGGTTCTTTAACAAGATCTAATTTATCTACATTGACTTCATCAAATTTTACTGATTCGAATGTACTAAATACTCAGTTATCAAGTGATTTCATCAAAAATACTAAAAGTTTCAATGAATGTAATAGAAATAGTTGTTATAGTAGTAGTGGTAGTAATAATAATAATGATAATAATAATAATGGAAGTAGGTTACCATTACTACCATCCCTATTAGCTGATTGTTCAAATTCATCCACTTGTATGACAACAATCAATTCTCAACCAATATATAAATATAATTCAAATGATTATCATCAAAATACTTTATCTGATATTACATTAACACAATTCTATCATAATGGTAATACAAATAATACATTTCGAAAATACTATCCAGAACAAAAGATATATAATACTAATACTACTACTATTACTACTACTACCACAACTACTACAACTACTACTACTACTAATAATAATAATAGTAGTAGTAGTTTTGATAGTTCAAACTCTATAGTTTATCATATGAATAACAATTATAATCAAATAGATTTTATAAAGAATAACTTTCATCAACAATTCAATGGTTCCAAGACAATTAATTCAACGTTTAATCATTCCCAAGAAGAATTTAATATTCATAGAGAAATGAATAAACTTGAAGGTAATTTGATTGAATTGAATATTTAATGTTTGTATTTGTTCAACATGTTGTGTTATTTGTTGGCTTAGATATTCGTTATGGCGAAGCATAGGACCGTCTACTAGCATTCACTTTTTAACCCTATCTTAGGAAATCCTATTCAATTCTTTCCAGTTGTTATTCATTCTATTTCCGGATATAATGTGTTCTTTGAACATTCTCTTTACCACTTTCCTTCAGAATTTCAAGTTAGGATGAACTAATTAAGAATCTTAGTTTCAGAGCTTGTATCTGATTGTCTTTAAACATATAGTATTTAAACAAAATGTAGCTATACTGTTAGTCATATTGCAATGTGATCGATAGTAGTTACTCTACACCAAGGGCTAGATAAGCATAAATAATAATAACTACTTAGTAAATAAGCAATGTTACAATCTTAATTCTTCAGCTCTATATGTATATATGTTGGTTAAGCTCAGTTGTTTGTTAAAGTGAAAGTAAATATTATCTACAAATTCTTTGTTACAATAGGATGAAACGACCATCCAGTGTATCCAGGTTTTCCATGGTTGTCTAGCTTCAATGGACTCATAATCTTAATCATTGAAATCACAAAATATGCTTCTTTATTCTTTCAGTAGGAGTGTAATATGATTGATTGTTGCTCTTAACTAACTTAGTATAAAAGTATTTTCTATCGTTCATTGAAATCGTTAATAAATAATGTAATTTTAAATATCTGTTTCATTATCATTGGTAACTATGTAGATATACCCCCGTTTCAATCACATACTTTAACAGATATAGAAACTTTAGATGTTAAGATAGCTGTTTTACCATTCAGTTAATAGTCAGAAATTTAATGATTCTTATTTATTCAACTTTTTTTTTTCCCAGTACATAATCATTATCTTACATAACTGATAGAAGTAATTTGTTACGTCCAATACTGACAACTTCATATTTTATCGATTAAACTTAAAATCCCAATATATATCTATTTCGAATTAGTTACTTAACATATCGATTTTATCGAGTAAACTGTCGTTATGGTCTTCATAAATTTAGTTTCGTCTAATCGACATGTGTTCATTTTCTTTATAACTAGTAAAAGGTATAAATACAATTACTAAGTGATTGATGATCATTGATTAATACACTTTGTTAGACCTAAATTTTAACCTTGTTAGTATATTAAACAGTAAGATCTATCTGTTAAGATCATGGATATTGATTTATAAGTGAGATTCTCTAACATTCAATCCCCCCCCTTCTATATATGATATTTTCTAATAATTCATTAGTTTCTGTGAAGTAATTAATTATAAGGAGTGTTCAATATAATCAATACGAAAGTTTAACATATATGAGTTTACTGGTTGAAATCATGAATCCATTGAAGCTAGACCACCATGGAAAATTTGGAATCACTGGACGGCCGTTTCGTCCTATTATGGGACTCCTCAGCAATGCGCATCGACGACCTCGCCCCCTGCGAGATTTCAACCCAGGACCTACTGGTTTCGCGCGCAAGCACTTAACCATAAGACCACTGAGCCAGCCGGCATCCAACGGTGTTCATGTCTAACTTCAACTAATCCACGAAATTCAGCGACACATCCACCATTGTCTTCAGTGAGTTAGTATCTCACAACAAATCTGTTTGAACTCCACTGGTTACTACTTCTCACTAGAATTATAGGATATACATCTTGAAGCTAGTCACTAGTGAGCATATGTTGATTAATATCAGAAGGGGATTTTGTGAATATTATAGTAATTTCAATAGTTGACATCATGAGTCATTTGAAGCTAGACCACTGCTGAGGAGTCCCACAATAGGACGAAACGGTCGTTTTCCATGGTGCCCTAGCTTCAATTGACTCATGACTTGAACAATTGAGATATTATTATTATTATAAAAATTTATGTGAATCATTCAATTCGATTTAGTTTTTCATGATGAATAGTTTCACAGGATTTGAGCACTGATTTGATGTGAGACATTAAAGAGAAAGAATATAATTGATATTTGATTAAATTTCTTTGAAGAATGTTTGGACCAGATTGCCAAGTGAAACGTTGGATTTACTTCAAATCAAATTTACAACTATATTCCTCTGCTTGAATGTCTCATCTGGATAACCCTTAAACATCAGGGAACATTAGACAATTGTCTTCTATGGAAACTTATATTGACAATTTAAATCGATTTGTAAAATATTATTTGTGGGGGGGGAGTAAATTAATCTTGATCATCTAGAATGTATTTCCAGTATGTCAGTTGTGTTATAAAGTTGAAAATGGTCATTTATTGTTAAGGAAATAAGCTTAATAGTAAATTGTATAATTTAATATAGATCTGTTTATGGAATTAGTAACTAGGCTAATGTTTAACCATCCTTTAAAAAAACATATCGATTTTTCTAAATAATCATTTAAGAAAATTTTGACATTTAATGTTTAAATACAAAAACTATTTTTCGAATAAAAACTGTGAAACTATTCGTGGATTGGTTGTGGTTAGAAATTAACACTAGTGGATGCCGGCCAGCTCAGTGGTCCAGTAGGTTAGACTGAAGGCTCTGGGTCCGAATCCCGCGAGCGGCATCGTGGATACGCACTATTGTGGAGTCCCACAATAGGACGAAACGGCTATCCAGTGCTTCCAGGTTTTCAATGGTGGTTTAACATCAATCGGTTCATGATCTCAATCAAAATGATATTATTTTTACTTGAATCTTTCTATTGATGTTTAGAACTACAATTGATCAATCTTTAACATTATTCAGGAGATTCGAATAAACAGTATCAAATGAATTTAAAAATTTCACCCCATTACAGAAGTATGTCCATATCAGAACTCAATAGCTAAGTGGATAACGTGATGGCATTTGAAGCGAACAATACTGAATTCGAGTTCCAGAGTGAACATCAACTCTGAGATGCAGATACATTCAGGTGACGAGTCTTAAATAGGACAAAACTCACGTCCTCGATTTCACTACTATCCATTATCCATCTTTGCTTAGAATGTGAAACTGTTCGTTTAAATTTAGATAAAAATTATTATTCTTTTGTAAGTATTGAATAAGCAATATTCTCATAAAGAATAGAAGTAAACAACATTAGTTAAATGGTGAGACTATAGTTTATGAACGATCTTTGAACGACACCAAAGTAATTTTAAGAGTATCTACCTATTTAATAAGTCAACATGAAAGTTAGAAAGCACTTTGAAGAATGAAAACACTGATTTACAGTTGATGGTAAGGATTGTAATTTAGATCTACTAACATCAACTAAAATGTCAAAGGACTATTTAACCAAATGGATGAGTGAATTTTCCGCCAAAAATTCAAGATCTGTTATTCTAAATCTGATTGGTTCATCCATAAGTATATACTTTTGCCAAGTTATGTCTTTCACGACCAAGATAGATAGATTTAACAATGAAGATGAATTCAAGATAAATTCTCTAAGTGATTGTATCATGAAAATTTATAATACTGTTAACAATTTTTATAGTAAGCAATAATGGATGGTGGCTAGCAGTGAAATCCAGTTTGACACGCGTTTCATTCTATTTGGAACTTGTCAGCTGAATGTACCTACATCTCAGAGTTAATATTCACTCTGGGACTCGAACTCAGTACCATTCGTTTCAAATGCCATCGCGTTATCCACTCAGCTACTGAGTCCTGATAGCCACTTTCTTATGTACATATGCCAATAACAGACTGAATAATTGCAGTCTTAAACCTTAATGGGAAGATACAAGCCAAACACTACCAAGTGAACTGTTAACAATTTCTTGATTGAATAATATTTACTATCCCCTAATGTAGTCAATTATATTTAATTTGTAAAAAGGAAAGATAACATATCAATACAAACTTGTTACTTATGTATATTATCATTTGTGATTATAAAACTACTAATGAAGAATTTTCTAATTCAATGGGTATTTTGTTTTGTTCTTAGTAAATGTCTCGAGTTTCATTGATTGATTAGCTGTAGTCATATATTTAACACTTGGATCCATTACATATTGAATTGTGTACTGTATTTTAAAATCAAGGATTGTTACATCATTGGTAACAGTAGACAGTTACTCGAAGTTTCTACAGTAACCAATAAGAACGATTTCTGGCAAATTTAAACAATGTCTAGGTGCTTTTCTTTTAAACCCTGTATCCAACTATGGATCATTATACTATCAGGAAGCATAGAATTAATAAGTCAATAAACGGAATTAATTTCTTACAACAAGGTTTTCAAGCAGTACAGTTATATGTTTTCTTAAGTTAACTTACATGTATAAAACATGATGATCATGTGTTCTGTTATGAAACCTGATAAAGTCAATAATCTTTTTGATTGAGATCATGAACCGATTGATGTTAGACCATTATTGAAAACCTGGAAAATTGTCGGAGTTCTGGTGAGATGTCGTGACCAGTGGAGCTAATCCGTGTTGGGTAGAAATAGGTGTCTACCTCAGTACGATTGAAGATGATTGCGTAACTTCGTGCATTGGTTGAGGTTAGATATTAAAATATACACTTATCAGAAACGCATCTAAATGGGTTATGTGATGAATAGTTATTCAAATCATAATTATAATAACAATATCTTAATCAAATATGAATAAGACAAATAGGGATGTGGATCATCTATATTCAAAGTAGTGAATACTTCTAATTTGAAACAACTGAGGATTTATTAGATAACAGTGACGTTTATAATTTGCTAAAACAATACCTCATTCCTATAATCATAATGTATATGATAGTCAAATATTATTATAGAATAAATATACAGCTACTATGTATTTTAAGTATAGAAACTCACTTGTTACCTGACGGCTTTATTTGTTTGTTATTATCATCATTATACTTTCATTAACTGTTAAATATCCTACTGAAAGTATAGCTGATAAGTCTTAAATTATTGCGGAACAATTCTAGGCGGCTTGCTTGAATATCTGGGCTACCTGTTTCACGCCATCTGGATAT